CCTCGGGGGCAGCGGGGGGCCCGGCAGGGATGGAGGTGGGAAGCATCACCACCCTCCCCGCCTTGCCCGACGGCGGCGGCGGCAGCGGCGCCTTCCCGCCCGGACACTTCAAGGACCCCAAGCGGCTGTACTGCAAGAATGGGGGCTTCTTCCTGAGGATCAACCCGGACGGCAGAGTGGACGGCGTCCGAGAGAACAGCGACCCCCACAGTGAGTGCCCGTCCGCCCTCCCCCCTCCCCCCTCCGTCCCCTTTCCAGGTCGCCGGGCGAGTGGCCCGCCTTCCTCGCCGCCCAGTGGGTGAAGGAATCCCCACCCCCTTCAGGCCGCGGGGGTTTTCCGTCAGGATATCTTTCAGCCGTTAAAAATAACCGTAGTAAATATTCTTAAAATACCCCCTTCTGCTTGGGGGCAGTTGACACTTAGATGGACCAGGACCAGGTTTTGAGCTTTGTGAATCTTGTCCCTTTTTGCTGAAATCTATATCGGAGTTCTGTGCGCCCCCCCCCCAACCCAACCCACTGGCCACAAGTCCTAGAGATGGTCACACACCCCCGTCCCTACCCCACTGGTTATCCTCCGGCGTCACATTCATTCCATCACACCGACTTCCTCAGCAAGTGTGCCACTCATATTGGGTACCCTCCTCCCTAGCACTCATTTTCTACCCCTTTGGCTGGATCAATAGATGCCGGTGGTTCCCTCCCTATAAGAAGTGATTTCATGCAGAATCATCTCTCAAAAATAGTGCCATCTTTCTCAGATTGTACATGTATTAACTGGTCTAACTTTGGCCCTGTCTGTACCTCTAAGACCATAATATATGAGATTTTCAGTGCTACCCCTTTCTGTATAATACTTTCTCTCTGGTACTTGCCATTCAGCTAAGCCACCCTGCATCTCACCTACTAGCCCTTATGCTGAGCTCCCTGCCCCCTCCTCAAGAAACCAGGTGGACCAGATACGGAGACCATATTTAATGTGCATTGTGTGCATTACCTCCCTTGCAACCATTTCTCTATAACGTTATATGCCCCATAATTTACTGCCTCTGCATAAGATCCCATTCTTCCCATTATTGAGCTCCACCCCATCGTGTGCATCGTTTCATTTACGCCCACAAATCTTAGGGGTACCCCCCTCGCATTGTATCATGTCTTCTAGCTTCCACTTTCTCCAGCTTTGCTCCTCCTTGCCAGACAGAAGAATTATGTAACCACTTTTTCCAGGGGCCTCCTTCCCCTCAATGAGCACTATGTGTTCCCATTGGACTTTGTAAATATCATCATCTTCCTCCACTGTCAGCCACCTCAGATCCTCCTTGTATAGTAGTCTCACCTGTGTCTTATCTGCTGCTCAATTATTGTGTTCCCTCTCTTGCATCCACTGGCCTGCCATTTCTGCCCCTCACATTGTGTGATTTCATCCTAGAGTTTCACTTGCCCAGGATTTAAATATCTAATGTCCAACATCCATATTTCTCTAGCCACTGTATTTTATATTTTCCTTGAGCACATGCAGCTGCTACCTTTACTTTTTATTCAGTGTGACATCATCAGCATTGTCACTACTGCACTGGTCTCTTTCTTACAATTCTCTAGTATCTTCTGCCAGTAAAAATAATAACAACAGTAATACTTCTGCAGTGCTTTTCTAGAAATGTATTCAAGGTGGGTAATGATAAAAACAGTAAATCTAAAGCAGAATGTGCTTCAGTCATCCTAATGTCTCTCAATGACTAGGGCAGCAGTCATTTCCCCAACAATCCCTCTTTCTTTCTGCCTGCCTGCAGTTCCTATGTGGCCCTTGACAGTTTGTCAAGACTCAAGCACTAGGACTACATCCTTATACTGAGGCTTGTTGGTTGGGTATATGGCTTTGTCTTTACATATGAAAGGGTCTGGGTTCTTATGGGGGGAGGAGGAACCACTGCACAATTGGCATTAGTGATTTTTTTTTTACTAGCACACTATTGTAGAGTCCTAATTAGATTAGCTAAGGAACATAATGTATCCTGGAATGCACCATTTACAAAATCTGTTTCAAATATAGAATCTTGCAATTTGAGAGCTCCCAGTAGATTTAAGTACAGCACGTTTAATATTTTTACTGCATTAGTGTTCCATATACCTTAATGTTTTCATGTTTGAGAACAATTTAATATTATATATACACTATAGAGGAAGGATACTGTTGGTTTAACGTAGGTAATGTATTTGCTTGCCACTCAACTCCTTTTGAGGGATTTCCTGGTCTTTCCAAACGTGTTGTATGATGGTCACATATAAAGCAAAACAAAATGAGAAAGATTAATGTGGATCAGTGTGGGGGAGAAACAGGTAGATAATTTCTGAGTTCCTTTCCTTTCCTTTTGATGTACTCCTGTATTAGGCTTTGTATTTCTGCTGCATATATTACTTTGCTCAAATATGCACTTTGCAAGTTATTTCTCTGACTGTAATGTTTGAAAGACTTATAGTTATTCCTTTTGGGTTAGAGCTAAATATGATAGCTTGCACCTGGGGTTCTCAGCCTACCATTGTCTTATATTTGAAAAAATGCATACTCCTTCTGACATTATTTTTATTCCAGCAGTGGAAAATTTGTGGATGCATTCCCATGAGCAAAAACTGTAATGTTAGAAGATTCCGTAACAGCTATCAGAAACAGACGCCTAGGCTAAGCTGGTTTATGGGAGTGATTAAAACTGAATCTATATTTAACCATATGGCCAAATATTTAACAGTTCAATGTGCAGACTTGTTCTAAAATAATCAGGCTGATTACATACCCTAATATGGACTAGGTGTCTTGCCCTCATTTATTCACTGCTTTTTTCTACATTACTTGCTTAACATTACAAACCATAACATTTTCATCTGCTTAATCTGCTTTAGGCAGTCATGTTTGGGATCATAGGAAAATATTTGTGCTTTTTGGAGTCAGTGAATTGATCATTTATTTATAATCTTGTCACCTACAAAATCTAGTAATCTTAGATGATGGAAACACATTAGAGGAGGCAAGTACTATGGTGAAGCTGTCTTCTGTTGCTTGGTTCTTAGAAGAGATTTTCTTACTGTAACTTGCATCATTTCAAGTGTGTCACAAAGACTGAAAGCAGGAATTCACCCAAAAATCCCCTTTGCAAGCTCTTATTGTTGCAATTTCTCCTAAATACATTGATGTATTCCTTTATCCACTTGGCTTTTGTTTTTGGCAAGCTAAAGTAATGTGAAAAACAAATGGGACAATTATAAATAGTGATAACAATTGTAACACTGCATTTTTTATCCTGATTTTCTCCCCTTTCTTTTGTATATTTCTTAATCATTTTACAGTATTTCTAAACACAGGCTATGACACAAATTGCCGCTTTGTCTTATGCAAGACCATTCACTGGTCCAGCAGATTTTAAAATTTATTTTCTGTAAACAGCTGGCCCCAAGCCTCATTGCAGTGTGCTTTTATAACTCTCCATCGTTTTAAAAAGCAGTTTGTGATGCAGTGTGGGAGCCTGCCGTCTGAGGAAAAAAACAGGTTATATAGTCCTTGTACTACTTAGTTGTCCCAGGCAAAACATGTAAATAATGTCTTAAGTGCCTTTTCTGTTTCTTGCATTCATTTTCATTCTTTGTTTTGCTTTTGCCTTATTCATGCCAACATTCATTACTTACTCCCTTCCCTCTTTAGAAACTTCAAGATACTTCTACTGGAGTTATCTCTCTATTCATATTTAAAGTTGATTTTTAAAATATGGCACCAAAAGTGTGTTTGAGGTTCTCTCAAGGGGTTTGCACACATCTGAATATTAATGGATGATAAAACTTTTCGTTAACTGAATGTGCACCCCCAGCTAAGTATTTCATACAAATTACAAACTTGAAAAGTACAAAAACTGCCTTAAGTGTCACATGGGGTAACATCCTAAATATCATATATCATAAAGTCCTAGATTGTTACACTTGGCAATAATTTGACTGGTAGCCTCTTACTTTTCACACCAATAGTTGGTTTAAAGTTCTCTGTCACTGTCTCCTCTAGAATTCTTTCTGTTTCGCAATTGCTTTTGCTTTTTCCTTTTTCCCGCTTTACTTGTTTTCTTCCACTGCAGTTCTCTTGAAGTTTGATATAGCTTCTTTTTTCTTACAGGGTATTTGCATTGCAAATCTAAGCAGAGTTAAACCTTTCTAGACCCATGGACTTCAGTCAGTGTAACTGTGCTTAGGCTGAATCTGAAGAACTGTGTGTGCACATGAAAGCTTATACCCAGAATTAAACTTTGTTGGTCTTAAAGGTGCCACTGGATCCAAACTTTGTTCTGCTGCTTCAGACCAACATGGCTACCCACCTGAATCTGTGCTTAGGCTTGTAATATAAATTACTTTCAATATTCAAGAATTTGGGGTGTGTGCATGCAGATTTTGGGACTGGAGATTCACATCTGCTCTCTGCCTACTTGTGAGATCTCTGTTGGACTGTATCTCATCCTGTTTCAGTGCTGGAAGAACTATATTCAACTCTGAGCCCTAAAATATGGGCAGAGAGCCAAAGTGGGTACAGATGTGGTCTCCTCTTCCACTCTGTTGTTTTTAGTGGTCCTTGAAAATGATTAATGTTGGGGGTGAATGGGAACATTGGCTTGCTAGCCAATGCTAGAATCTGGTGGGCTGATGTTCACCCCAAAATTAAGTAGCTCAAGGACTGGCTGAAAGTTCCTATTGGTGAAATATGGCCTTTGTTCCTACATGTTCTAGAAAAAAATTCCCTAACCCTCCATTCCGTTGTTGGTGGAAAGTGGCATTAAGTCACAGCTGACTTACAGCAATCCTGTAGGGTTTTTCAAGGCAAGAGACGTTCAGAGGTGGCTTGCCATTGTCTGCCTCCGCATCAAGACCCTTGTATCCCTTGGCAGTTTTTTATCAGTCTTACACAGACCTTTATTGGCATATATTAGGTTACAGGGAGAAGCAAAAACAAATAAAGAGGTAACAAGGAAAAATAAGTCAATCATCTGCATCTATACATTGCGCAATCGATCCTTAATTACCAAACTTAGAAATAAGGCTACCTTTTCAGTTCAGTTATTTCGGGTGATGAATCATTCAGGAGATGGCACACCTTCAGAGCATCTGGGCAGCCTATCATGTTAAGTAAAATTGGGTCTAAAAGAGTAAAATGTATATCATCATATTGGGAACAGTATAGGAGA